TGTGTGTGTGTGTGTGTGTGTGTGTGTGTGTGTGTGTATGTGTCTGCTGGGGCCTGCCCCTAGCCGCGCCACATAGGCTCAGAGCAGTTGCCGTGTGTGTGTGTGTGTGTGTGTGTGTGTGTGTGTGTCTCTGCTGGGGGCCTGCCCCCAGCCACACCGTGGAGGCTTGGAGCAGGCACCCCTCTCTGTTGATCTCTCAGGCTCCTGGCCTCCACTGCGTGTTGTACTCTCCCTTGAGCTGTGGCCAGGGTGGGGTGCTGCCTGCAGGCCGCCCTTTCCTGCTTTGGGATCGCCACAGTGACCCAGCAGCAGGCGCACACAGAGGGGAGCTGCCTGCAGGCCACCCTTTCCTGCTCTGGGATTGCTGCAGAGACCCAGGGTCAGGCCCTGCTGGGTGCTGCCTGTGGGTGGCACTTTCCTGCTCTCTAATCGCCATGGGATCCTGGCTGGGGGTGGGGCTTAGGCGGCACACGGGGGTCCCGGTTGGGGGAGGGGCTTAGGCAGCACAGGGATTAGGCAGCACACGGGGGTCCTGGCTGGGGGTGGGGCTGCACACAGGGCCCAGATGGTGGATCATGCTGTCCCACCCTGCCTGCAGTATGCAAATTAGCCGCCATCTTTGTTGGCAGCTAATTTGCATATCATGCTGATTAGCCAATGGGAGGTGTAGCAAAGGTGCGGTCAATTACCATCTTTGTCTATTATTAGATAGGATTGTTGTTGTTGTTATTTTCATTATTATTATTTATTCAGGGAGCACCTAGAGACATACTTCTTAATATAGAATGAAGACCTGATGCTTGGGTACCATAGCTGTTAGTAATTCCATGGAGTACATGAAATTCACAAGTAAGTCTGTAACAAACAAGATTATCAGAAATATCAAAGCACCAGTTACTCCCAGGGGGGCCATATCAACTCAAAAACTTTTTGTTCACACTCACACAGTTAAGAGCATGACTGAAAGCACTTTCAGCCTTCTTTTGAATGGAACTCAACACTCCCCAAGGCCTACTGAAAAGAAACTGCTCAAATGATATCTTCTTAGCTTATGCTTTAAGAAGGAACCAGTAGATTTTTTGAACAACCAGGTCTTTATACTTTTAAATTCACATCCTTATTCTATTTTCACTGGAAGAGCTTCAATTTAGGACAATCCTGCCCTATAGATGTTATCAAAGCAAAGGAGGACAGAACAGAGTATTATCCAGAAAAGTGAATGATGGATCTGACATATATGAAATCCAGTCTTCCCCAATTTCTTTCTCCCTTCTAAAGTATTTCCAAGAGATCAAACCTTTATGAGTCCACTTTATCCAAGAAAATTAGCTGGATTAAACAGGGCACATTAGACTTTTGTGACTGACCTTCTTCACCCAAAGCCTTTATAATTGTCCTAAACCATGAATATAATCCAAATGCTATTGGGTCCCTAATCCTGACATAGGCTTGATGTGGTCTATAGAATGTACTTGAGATCAGAATAGGCTTGTATGTATTTACACACCCTTAAAAACAAAAAGTATCAACAGATTTATAACTCATTTTTATAGCCTTAGTGGAAGCAAAAGGAAAAACATGTAGACATAATCCAATTATGACTAGACTCAAAGGAAAAGAAACACACACTAGACAGGAGGCTATCACACAGCCTCCAGCAGTCCACATCTACTAAAATGAGAACAGGTTCTATGATATTTAAGATCATAATCATTGGCAAGACTTTGGTCTTTTGTACCCTACACTTCCCCAGAAGCTCTGGCTCTCTCCGTTTGGAAAGACTACCCGATTTACTTCCATTTATGTATTTGCCACAAGATGGAAAGCCAAAAACCGATGATTACCATGGCTTAGTCCCTGAATCCAGGGTAACACTAAATCCTCTTGGGGGTCAGTAAAAATTGGGCCTTGCAAAAGATTATAGGAATAGCCATTGCGACGGAAAAAAAAGCCCTCTGCTCTTCTGCTTCCCACAGAGTTAGTGGAATGTATTCTGACAGAAACAAAACAAGTCTGCCAAGACCTGTGCAGATAGAACTATGTTTTCTCCAACAATAAACAGATCTGCTTTTGAGCTATAGAGAGTCATAATAGAAATATATATTGCCTTTTATCTTCTTTTCAGTGAGTAGAGTGAAGTGTCAGGAGTTATTGCTTTAATATCAGAGAAAAAGCTATTTTTTGGAGCATGTGTATAGGTATGCATGAAACAGCCCGTGGGACTAGGACACTGTTAGACTAACCAGGTTCTTGCACATAAGATTGTCCTGATGATATCATCAGTATATACAGCTGCAAATCATGCCTGTGAACTTATGGAAGAACTCTTTGGATACTTCTGCTCAATTAAAAGGAAAAAAGAAGACAGCACAAATACCTCTACCTAACTCACGTTAATTCAGAAGAATGGGAACACATAAGGGGTTTATGGATTATTGACTTTAAATTTATAATGCCTATTGAAGTTAATAGAAGGGTGATGTCAAAGACTCAATTGAACTCCTGCATAATGTCTTAAAACTAAGAAACTGAAAGGGAAGTACTGGTTTCTACTGAATTGTCTATAAATACTAACTAGGCTAGGGGTAATTTCCCCACAAGCAGTTAGAATGTCTTGTTTATGCCAGAGCATTTAAGGCTAATAACTTGATTAACCTTCTACCCACTACTAACTAGATTTATGAAATGCCAAGGGAGTCAGCAAAGCATTAAGTTTTAGCTTGAGTGTAATTACTTTTAAGTGAAAACAAACAAACAAACAAAAAACATTAGCACAAAATAAGGACTTCCTACATAGCTAAACTCAGACCTTCAAATTTTATAATGTAATTAGGGTCTTGATCAAATATAAAGAAAACAAAATGGACAAAAATAATGTGTAATTAATCAACACTGACTATCAAATACAGACTGTATGTCATAAGGATTAAACCTGTAGCTTCAGTTGCCCTTGATTTAATGCTACCCATAGGCTTAAAAAATGAACAGTTCTTATTCCAGCAAAGCCATCAGGAGGTTGTAAGAAAATTGCACTAGGATATAGTCTTTCCTATGATAACGCATTTTACTTTCCCCCTTTTTCCTTTTTACTATTGAAAATAAAGGTAATAAAATAAGAGCAGGGAGTATTTCATACTGAAATTAGCTTTTTGAATAATAGCTTTCCCATTTTGAATAATATATTTACCATTTCAATAATAAATATGATAGGCATGGTAACCCATGAGTACACACAAGACTTTGTAACTTCTTTAGCAATGACTTTGTCTTTCTCTATTCCAGGTCTTACTACTATGAGTATCTGTAGGCATCCTTCCTATAAACATAGTAATTCACATTCTCTCAATATGTAGTAACACCGACCATCATAGCAATGTCTCAAAGATAAAAAATGCAAAACCAATTAATAGTTGGAGAAATACTTACCTGAATGCTGGCTGTTGAGCGATTCTTGCGGGTTGTGGTAGTAGCCATTGTGGTGGTGGTTTCCATGACAGTGGTAGACATTTCTGGTGGCATGGCAGTCGTCTGTGTTCCCAAGATTGATGGGACTTCTCCCACCAGCCGGACACTTCCATTGATTTTAATATTGGGGTTGTTCTCAGCTGCCATGTTCAATACTTTCAAACCATCGTAATAGAGCCCAGAGAGCTGGCCTTGGAAGAGGCGTCCTCTGTCCTTTCCGCCAATGGCTATTTGCGCCTGGGTGTTGAAGATGGTTAACTGCCGGCCTAGTGGATTGGGTGGAGGAAACATCATTATTCCCATACATTTTCTCTCTTTGCCTTGCCTGGTCTAAATGAACCAGGTCTAAAAACAGGCTTCCTTGAGTAATTGAAGGGGAGAAAATTAGATAATAAAAATTCAATACAGATATTGGCAAGTAACATTTCATTATGTTTATCCCTTCCACTGTCTAGCTGAATATCCTAGGTATCTGACTAATCAAGTCTCTATTTCTTTATTGTGAGGAAGGAGAACCTTGGTTCAATAGTGAATAGTATTGTAGTCTTCTCAATAAAGTAGTTGTGGACAACAAAAAGAAACCCCTAAATCAGATGATGATAATAATAAACCATTAATGCCTACTCTATTGATTTGTTACCTACAAAGTACATAACAACAACTAAAAAGAGTTATATATGGCAAACAAAAACCTTGTGAGACACTCATCCCACTGAATTAAAAAATTAGGTCTGATAATTACATTAAATTAACTGAAATTAAATTCCAGTTAAGAGATTTGGATTCATTGCATACTTAGAAAAAGTGAACAGTCAGTCACCAAACACCTTATTTTCTAGGAATCTTCATAGTACATAATATTCTATCTATACTTGCTGTTCAATTAACACCAAGACAAATCAATTCTTACCTCTATAAATGTTGAGGTAAGGAGATTATGGTCACACAACTAAATCTCTCCCTAAAATATGGAGAATAAGTAGGCATTGATATGTTCCTGAGATGGGGGAAGAAGAAAGTGTCATTCCAAGTCAATATATTTTAAATGGGGGGTATGGACATTAAAAAAAAGTAACATAAAATTCCTTAAAATTATATCAAGATATATTAATGGACTAAAGGGTATCAGTAGCTCAACTTACTTGGGGTTCCCATTTGGGGAACGATTTATGCTTCTGTGAATAGGAAACTCTCAGAATGAAATCATGGCAGAATAGAGTTCAGAATAGTGCAACTCAACTTATCTTCCTCCAAAGTACTTCTAAATCTTCCCAAGAAAAACAACAATAACAAATAGCTTTTTAAGCCATGTCATTATTTCTCTAGATTATTTTTGTCTGCTTTTCTATATAGAGAAGGGGGGGGGACTTACTAATGGAATGACATATATTCTTTTTAAAATTTTCTCCACTTTAGTCAGTGCGTCTGCTTTTCTATATAGAGAAGGAGGGGGGGGGACTTACTAATGGAATGAAATATATTCTTTTTAAAATTTTCTCCACTTTAGTCAGTGATCAAACAATGCTCCACTCATTCCTAAATCTAACCCTCTGAAATATTTTAGCTGTAAATGACTGGAAACAATGGTGTTATTCTTGCCTGATTAATAAAAGAGAGTATATTTTTAAAGATTGAGGTTTTTGCTCACAATCTCTAATATGAACAAAGGCAACCTGTGATGTTTCAGCTTTTAACGCTACTACTATTACATGGTCTTTAAGTCTACACAATGGTTAGCTATTCTTTATTTTCTGGTGTATAATGTGGAATACCTTCTCAACATATAGTAATGGACAAATGGAAGAGGCAGAGAAAGGAAAACACATCTGCTCAGAGGGAACTCATTATACAAGACTCAACTCCACTCACTGGAAAACTCTTCAGGGCATGTCAGTGAAGTATGATTTATAAGTAATACACCTTGGGAAGCTTTGAACACTGCAGGATGTGGAACTAGCCAGATAATTCTGTTATAGTGAAAAGGATATGAACTCTATAAAGATATCTGGAGTATGGAGATAGAATCTTCTGGCCTTAATAATAACAGAAATGTCCAGAACCTAAGGGTGCAATCAAAATAGATCTAATAGATTTCCATTACTTTTTCACCAATTCCTTCGGTGCCCTGTGCATATGCATCATTGCTTGTCCTTTGACCTATCATTTCTCACAAAGCACACAGCAAAACGTTCAAAGCACAATAACAGTGGAGTCATATCTTTACTGTTTTTTTTTGTTTTGTTTTTTGACAACAGCTTTAGCTTTAAGCTTACTAGAAAATAAATGCCATGATGGGAGGGGAGAATAAATATGCCCTCAACCTCACATAGGCATTTGTGGCAGCTTAAGTTAATACATAAGAGCAAGCTGCATAATAGGAGATATCTAGGACTAAAATTCAGTATCTTAAATCAGATAGCCCCAATACCAAGCGATAATGTCCATTCATACAACTGTTGTCCAACTATAATGTTTATTCATCTCCTTTTTTTGTATATAGTCCACTACTGATGATCAGTAAATGGCTCTGATTATAGTTGGAACATTGTATTACTTCTAATATTCCTGAAAGTACTTCACATCTATTGTAGTCTTTATCCATTTTCCTGGTGCTATTATCCTGCCAATGCTTAAAAAATAAAAAATAAAATAATTTTTTAAAGGCTTAGAATTGAAATGCAAACTAGAATTACACTGGCTAGAAATGATGGATCTCTTTTATTCTAGTTGACATTATTCAGGTTCATAAAGTGGCCTTTGTTTGTTCAAGACTGACCCAAGCACGGAGAAAGGAGAGACATTTCCTGGGCTCTAAGATTAAGACACTGCCCCACTTCTGGCTATTGCTGCTTTCTCAGAAAGAGCTGGCTAATCAGTTCTTAAGAATAAAGCACTGGTTGGGTAAGACAGGGAAGAGGATGTCTGTGCTTCAATTTTATATCAGACCACACTGGAAATATTTGAATTTTCGTTTGATTCTGTGTTCCATGCTCTATTTCTGGCTAGATCTGCCTTTATTCTATTTTGAAATAGCCCTCCTTACCATGAATTAGGTGGTTAACAATAAACTGGCTACTACTCAAGTAATAGTGGGATAATCTAAGTCTCCTGCCACCTCTTCCACTGATCAATTTCTCTCTCTCTGTGAAGCAGGAGTAAGTGAATAATCAAGATACAGCCATCACCACCCTTTCCCTCTGAAGGATATGAGGACTGATGAGAAAGTTTCATCACATGCCCAAGATTTCTTGAAATCAATGCCAGTCTCATTATTGTTACTGATTATGGTCAATCATGTTTTTGTGTGTGTAATCATGTTATCTACATGTATATCTTGAAATGAGAATTGTTCTATCACCAATTATAAAAAAAAATTGGTTCTAACACCAGTACATAATTTATAGCAGGTTACTTTTTATTTTTTGTTGTGGGTGCCACCGTCTTGGAAGTCATTCATTATTGCCTCATTTGGACACCACGTTCACATATGGCTTAAATGAAATCTTTGCATGTTTCCAAGCCAGTGTTGCACAAAGACTAATTAATTAAACCTCAGAACACCCTTGGGGAATAGGCAGTATTATTTATCCTCTCCTCTGATGGGAAATCTGAGCTATACAGAGGTTAAATGGATTGTCTAAGGTCAAGAAGTCAGTCGATAGTAGACAGAGCCAGAAAACAGACTGGGAGTGCTGTGCCCCAGACGTCTTCCCCAGTGACAGAGGTCAATGTAAAGAGGCATTCCCAGGACTTCCTGACCCATCTGCCTAGTCATCCTTCTGTCTTTACCTTTTTATACTCATTGCCTGTACAAGGTTTTTTGCTATATATTTGCAATTTATTTTGAAGGAAAAGTAAGCTAGGCAGAGGAAGGGGTAAAGCAATAGAATGAATAGATGTTACTCACCTAAATTACCAACAAAGTAATTTGTTAAAATACTGTAGAGGAAAAAAGACCTTCCAGTTTGCAAATAATTTGTTTCAATCATATGTGCACATATAAAAACATGAACATATTTGATGAAGATATTAGAATGCCTCCCTCCATCTCACCTGAACCACCCCTGGCCCTGCCCCCCCACCCCACCCCCATTTGTTGCATGTTTGAAAGCATCCTTTTATATGAAAACCAACTGATAACAATGCTATCGTGAGGAAAACTAAAAGCCTACTAATAACTTTATAATGGTTTATACAAATGAAAATGCCTGGCATGCTCTTAAACTTAGACTTCAAAAGGCAATGAAGTAAAATAAAATAGTATTAACATAAAATTGAAAGAAACAAAAAAGTTCTCTCAGGCACATGAGACTCAGACATGCATCTAATTTTCATTTCCTTTTTAAAAAGTGAGGCAATCATCATATTTAAATGTTAAAGGGACTTTAGGAGCTGGTGATTACTAGACAAAATTATTTGCTTTTTAGAGTTATTCTTAATTTATGTTTAATTAGACCACATACATTAAAACAGGGCAAACAATTAAGACTCAGTGAGAATTTTCTGTGTTTAAAGGTGCAAATGTTTCACCCTTTAAAACTGTAGTAGCTCTTTGATTTTTAAGTTATATACTAATATACCCAATTGCATGTTATGTGTAACTCTATCAAATCTCTATGTATTTTGAAAATTCATTGAAGGTCTGGAGACCAGAAAAGCTTATACTGGCTCAGGAAAGAACAGAATAAGTAGCTTCTTAAAGAGAGGAACTTTCCTGTGTAGAGAGAAAATGGTTTATATCCCAACAAACAGAAGCCGCACAGAAAATTCTAACATCTGATATAACTGCTGCCCTCTCTTATTAGCTATGTGGTGGTTTTCTTTGGCAAATCAGAAACTGCTGTTTTGCCTCTTATGAGCCTTTCCTTTTCCAACTCGTTGCCCTAACCACTTACACTTTTGTTGCATAATATCCAGTACAGGAGGTATCACACAACCGAAGTGTAAAATAGGTTTGTGTTTGTGTTTAGTTTCCGTCAGTGACTAGGACACAATTAATCTCTTATGAAACGCTTTTGCCTCTGTATGGTTGCATTGAGAGGCAAAATTCATCTTTCTCTTTCTTTTCATTGTTTATAAAAAGATGTTCAAAAAGAACACTCCTCTTCTTATAACACTTGTGTTTAAGCAGTTTAAGTTAGCAGAATCTATGATTTTTTTTGTTAGACAGTAAAGCCGAAACAGCCTCAAGATGGAAGTTTAAAAAGCACTTTTGAAATTTCTTTAGAAAGCTTTGGTATAAGAGGCTATTTAAAATAAATTAACAAATAATGTCATGCAGTGGTTAAGTTGCCATAATACATTTCTTTTTTAGAGGTTCCTGGAATTTTTTTTGTTTGTTTGTGGCTGTCACACTGATAGCAAACGAGATGTTAGTCCCTTTAACTGTATTTTAATGGCAATGTATTATAGCATGATTTATCAACATATGGCAGGTGGAAGCTGACACAAATTATAATGAAAATTAAAACAGTCATTTATGCAGCAGGCGATTATCATTTAAGGAACATTTATTTGCAGGCTTTAAAAATGCGGGTTTAGAATCAAATGAATTTAAAATGAAAGTTTTAACGATGGTTACCTTTTTCCTGCAGCCACTCCTCTACGGGCCGGTTATATTTGAAGGGGATTTTCTGTTTTACCATTTGGAAGCGTTCATTATCAGTGTTGCCTTTAAAGTTTAAAAAACAGCTTAAAGAACAATCTGAAAAGTCAATAAGTCATGAAAAAACATCCTATTTTTTTTGTTTGTTTTATGAAGTTTTTAGAGCTAGATATCAATTTATCTTTAGTAGAGGTGGAGTTGAAATCACTCTGTCCTTGGTGACAGGTTTGACATCAGGTTAGTCTTAGCTATGCAGTACTCCGCCGGGTGTTGGACACATGGCATGGGATGGGAATCAGTAAGAGGTGTGCCCATTGATAAAGATGGGTTGACCTTCACTCATTTCCATCTCACCCCAGCTGCATCTTAATTGGGTCAATGGAGGCAGGAGGATCTCCCTGAACTATGAGAACTTAACCTGCCAGATCGGCTTTATAATGTGGGAGGGGACATCAGTCAGGCATGCTCTATCCTCACTACTGTATCCTATTAGAAGCACGGTCCACATATTCCTTATTCTACTCTCAAGTGTCAGTAGCTGTTCTACCTTCTGGCACAGGGAAGCCAAAGAAGGCCATTAAAGTCTTGATGGCCAAGGGAGACTCCTTATTCCATAAAGGAGGCCTGGCATCCCATCAACTATGTTAAATAGGTAGTGTCTTACAGATGGCTCTTACTGTCTCTACTCCCTTGTCTATATTTATCTATATCTATAAATAAAAACAGCTATACATATAATGAGATAGCCTCTAGAGGCTTTTAAGCGCCTATGCTTTATTACTACTAATAGATGCAGGCTTTATATGTTTACCTTCCTCTTTCTTATCTTCCTGTGAGAGGTGCTTCCTGAACAAACATCCATTCCTAAAGCCTGTTAGGGACACTTCTCCCAAGCATAAAATATCTAATCAGTTTCAAACCTCAGACATAATGCATTTAACTGCTGGCATGCGCCCTTCTTCATTTCATAACTGTTACCACCCCTGGATGGTTTCTATCCTTAGAACAGATTTGGAGAGTGGTGTTGTGGAAATATATCCCTAATGAATATGCTTCAAATCACTAAATAATGAAACTATGCTTTGGGAGCTATCTCATCAACCAAACTCACAGATATCAAGCAGAAACTAGTGAGTTATACTTCATTACTTTGGACCCACAGCCCTATATTAGAACTTAGGGAATCCCATTCTAAATTACCAACATTAAAAACAAAATCAAAATCTTAAAACAGGTGGCTTGGAAACCATTTACAAGAAATTTCTAAAAGCCAGAAAGAATATTAGAATTAAGTATATCATCAGGCCATGTGCACAGAAGCTTGCTATGAGTCTCAGGGCCAGCTCCATATAGGGGTTATTGCTGGCAGGTTCCACATGTGAGGAAATGCATGCCTGCCTTCCATGATGGGTAGGACAGGAAAGAATAGTAGGGCAGGAAAGAGTGGCAGTGTTTGGACAAGGTCCCCATTCATTTCTCCTATGAATACATTATTCTATGAAGCTGACTCATTATTCTATAAAACAACAAAAATTTGCATATTGTTAAAAACTCTGAAAGATGGAAGGTCATTTGGAAAATCAAATTGGTTTAAATTGCCACATTAACATTGTTCTTAGATTCTTTTCATGTTCTTGTTGGTTTTTATAAAAGAGGCAACTATGTATCTGTTTCCAGCCTACATTATGGGACCCTAACTGGCTGGCATACAGCATACTATATTGACATATCAAAGGATAAAGGGCACTGAATGGAGAGAACAATCAATAATATTGGATTGGAGTGATAATTTAAAAATTTCCTCGAAATATATTTTTCACAAAAAAGGGGCACATGCTAGGAGGAAAAGAAGAAAATGAAAGGCAATCTAATCTCTCTGTTTAATTAAATCTATGGTAAAGGAAGTTAGTTGTATCTGTTAGTAAAGCTACTGATTAGCGATAGGTCATTATGATGATCCTTTGTAGATCTGGGTACTCAGCAGTCTAATATAAAATAAAGTTGGGTACATTCTCACATGTCTTCATAGAAAAGAAACACTTTTTTAAAGTAGAATATATATCTATAACTCTTAATCCTACCCTAAAGTAGACAAATATCATCCAAGGCATGTCATCCATCTTCATAAGCTTTGACCCCTCTCAAGTTTTAGTCATGACAACAGTATACTGAGAAATGGAAAATGGGTCATGTCAGATCCACTTGGAATATATGCCATTACTTTGGGTTTTCTATAATTGTCATTGCTGGCCCCAATATTAAATATATTAATGGCCTTTACTCACTGTGCAATGTATTAGTGAAGTCAATAGCAAATCTAAAGCTAAATATTCTTAGTAACATGCAGGGCAAATCTTAAGTGACCAAAGTTCCCAAATTATCAGAGTTCTACATGCACCAAATTAGTGAATTAAGAAGCTGCATTGATTACTTCCTCCAAATACCTGGGGCTCTTGGTCATCCTAAGCATCCCTTCCTCTCCCTGCACTCTCTTTTAAACATACCGCTCCAAAGGAAATCATTTTGGAACATGATATAGGCTAGAAAAAGGGGAAACTATGTTGGACAATTAATACGTGATATGTTGGGAGGACGGCATAGCCACAGTTCAACGTTACACCCTTCAAAAAGTGAAAGAGAGAGAGAGTCATTCTTCTCCACCTCAGCTTTAAAGACATTTAGAAAAAAGTTTTAAGTTCTCCACACCAGATTGATGGTATCTGTCATTAAGGATAGTGATCTTGCATACTGTTAAAAGCTGTGAAAGATGGAAGGTCATTTGGAAAACCAAATTGGTTTAAATTGCCACATTAACATTATTCTTAGTTTCTTTTCATGTTCTTGTTGGTTTTTATTTTAATTTATCTCAAACATTAGAGAGATCTGTTTTAGAAACAAGTGCATAAGAATGAGTTCATTTGCCCCGAGCTCCATTTGCTAGACTGATTGAAGAGCAAAAAACCTTCTAAATATAAGAATTCATACATAGGGACTACTCTGAAAACTGAGCAAGCCTCATCAAATTCATATACATTCATATTAAATCCTTAATAACATTCTGTTGTACATTTCAGATAGAAACCAGTATAAAAATTTAAACAAAGAGTGAAATAAATTCTCCAACAGAAAGTGATGCTATCCTCAAGAAAGGATGGTCTTGTGAATAGTAATGTCATAATGTCATTAAGAGGAAGCAAGTGTGCATTACTAATTAGACCCCCAAAATGTAATGAGTTCAGTTCTCTACCACACTGAGAAACCTTTAAGTTGCTCAAAGAGATCTTCAAATATATAGTTCTTAAATTACTTATGTGGATCTGACATTCACCTACATGGAACTGAGTTTTAGAAAAAATATTAGTCACATTTCATTTTTCTTAAAATAAATGTGTATATCACCATTCAATTTTGATCAGATATTGATATCTTTATGCCTCCTATGGTAACTTGCAATTGTATTATTGATTCTATTATTTAAATATCAACTCCCAGAGACACATACAACATGCACTGTTGAATTATAAAATTGTGAAAAGCATACTACTCTGAGGTAAGATTATTAAGGCCCAACTGGCTCATACACATATCTCCCACAATTATACAGAAATATTTTATGTTTTCTACACTTGGGTGAACCCATTTGAGTTAAAAGAAAAAGAGAATAGAGAAAGATAAGACAAAGAAATCAAGTGATTCTTGAATAGTTATTAATACATCAGTCTCTATTTATGGTCCCAAAAGAAAATTTGAAATATGTTGATAGTCCCAAAGAAGTAAAATATCTTCAATTAAAGAACTAAGAGAGGAAAAACTATTTTTATTTCTTTTTTTAAAAAGATTGATTTTGAGCCGAACCGGTTTGGCTCAGTGGATAGAGCGTCGGCCTGCGGACTCAGGGGTCCCAGGTTCGATTCAAGTCAAGGGCATGTACCTTGGTTGCGGGCACATCCCCACTGGGGGGCGTGCAGGAGAGAGAGAAAAATCAATTTGTTTTTTCCATTTATTTATGCATTCATTGTTTGATTTTTGTATGTGCCCTAACAAGGGATTGAACCCCCAACCTTGGTGTATTGGGAAGACACTCTAACCAGCTGAGCTACCCAGATATCGCTCAGAAAAAACAACAACTCCTGTATAGCACAGACAATAACTTTTACAGCACCATTTTTGCACTCTACTTGTCCAAACATTGATCCTATTCATTAGATATTATACTAATTATTAAAATCATAATCAATACAGCATAGAAGCTAAGACCATGGGCTTTGGAGACAAACTTGGCTTTGAATTCTAACTTTTTTATTTATTAACTGTGTGATCTTATACAATCATTTAGACTCAGTTTCCCTATTTCACAATTCACCATAGAATTTGGTATAGAATAAGAAATAGAGCATATGCAAAACCTGAGATATGAAAAACCTTCAATTTATTTAAACAATTATCACTGATATAATTTAACTCTTTCCTAATGAGATGAATAAAGTACATTGGCTCCATGGTGCACTTCCACTCTCTCAGAACTTTACCAGGCCTCCATTCTAAGGAAGGATCACCATACTCCATTTGGTCCCATAAAGTTGTCTCCCAAAGATCAACTGGTCATAGAAAATGAAACATCCTAAATCTCTCCTAAATCTCTTAGGTGTTGCTTTTTGTATTTCCATAGCTTCTAAAATATACTCAGCTAACCCTGTTTCCAAAACAAAGTGGGTTTTAAGCTCAATTGAAAGTAAAAGAGCAATTCAAGCATTGACAAATGTGATTTCCAAGTCCAGCCACAGGTAATGATGATATACCACTGCTAAGTTGAGGAAGAGTGGCTTAAAGGTTTGGGCAATTTGCACTAGGCTGGCATAAAATGCTTTCTTGCAGGTAGACTATTAATACCATCTGAATTACTGTCAAGCACGTGGCCAGGCTAAAAGAAATATAGTAACAACATTCATCTGTGCAAAATTAATGCCAGAGGTATTTCTGTATTTTGGTGCGAGTCCTGGAATAAAAGAAGGAACAGTTTTCTGTATTGTTTTGTTGACATAAAAAATGAGAGTATGGGTCTAATG